TATACATGTTCTACCGTTTTTCTTTTTAGAAGAACTGCTTTAAAGATGATCTGTCTCAGATCACTCTCAAACACACTCCAATAGGCTTTTTATCCTCAGTGTTTTGTGAGATGTACAGGTCAAGGTCAGCAAGGAATTCAGGGGTGTTCAACTCAATGCCCAATTCTCAGCCCTCAGCTCACGAGCTAATTCCTTCAAATACTTTCTAGAGAATTTGACTCTCAAAAAGCCCTAGCCTCTTTGTTTTCTTCTCAGTCCCTAACAATTTCATCTAATTTTTCTTTGCCGTTTTTTTCCTTCACTTCCTGACTTGTAAATACTGGGTATCCCAAGTTTTAGGGCTGTAAGCATCATTTCTATGATGGTGAGTTATACTGTCCCCAGCTCAAATATGCCGTTAAATGTAGATCCACATGTACAAATGCCTGCTTGTCTCTCCAGGTGAATGGGTAAGGGGACAGGAGTCTCTAAAACTTAACCTGTCCCAAATTGATCCTTAGATTTCTTGATCTCCACCTAAACATGCACACATGCATGCATGTATGCACACACACACACTGCAGATCTCCAGTCTGCTCATAGTCTTCCTCATTGAAATTAATGACAATTCCAATGTTGGGAGTTGCTCAGGCCCAAGTTGTACAGTTATCATTAGTTCTTTTCTTTTTGTCACTTTCTGAATCTGACCTGCTCCCAGATAAGGTGTATTGTTTATGGTGCTTTTTCCTAGAACATAAAGTCCAGGTAGAGATTTTTAAAAATATTTTAATTATTATTTTCTCATTTCATGTGTATGTGTGCACTGCCTACATGTAGGTAAGTGCACCCGTGTCGTGCAACACCCGTGGAAGACAGAAGAGGCTGTCGGATCCCCTGGAACTGGAGTTACGGACAGTTGTCAGCTGCCATGTGGGTGCTGGGATTTGAACCCGGGTCTTCTGTAAGAACAGTCAGTGTTCTTAACTACTGAGCCATCTCTCCAGCTCCGAGGTAGAGAAATTTTTATCTATTTTATTTTCTTTTAAATCTTAAGTGCTCAAAAGTATTTAGAAACTAGCAGATACCCAACAAATACTGAAATGAATAAGTGGGCAAACAAATTGAAAAAAATAACAAAATGGAACTTTTAGCTATAAAAAGTAATTGAAATTATATACTTAGCTGGATAAAAAGAAAATTAGTTTTCAGAGACCAATACAATGTCAATAGAGAGATACATTCATGACTTCTATCAGGAGGCTGGCTGGCATAAATTGATGTCCCAGCCATCAACAAAGACATGAAAAACAACAGAGCAATCCTATCCATGAAACTATATTTAAAAATTCTCAGTCTGGATGTTGACACACATTTGTAATCCCAGCACCTGGGAGGCTGAGGCAGGAGGATCACTAATTTAAGAGAGGCCTGGAGTATATAGAAAGTTCAAGGCCAACCTAAGCTTAAAAAGAAAGTTTTTTTTTTAACTTTTTCTTTGTTAGCTTTTCATACTAACAAAGAAAGAAATTCTGGATATATTATTAAACAAAATTTGACAATATATGAAAATCAGTCTACTATATTTCACAAATTTTAATTCTATTTAGATGAATTTCAGAGCACCACTTTCAAATATACTTGATACTTATTAATGAATGAATTTTATGCCTCTTGAAAAAAATATATATATATTGAACTCTACACCCCAATAGGATAGCACTAAGAAGCAGAACCTGTGGGAGATAATTTATGAGGGTGGGGCCTAATGAGTGGAATTAGTGCCTTTACAAGAAGGGACTAGAGAGCTTGCTTTATGCCATGTGTCTATACAATTACAAGCCTACAACCAACAAGACAGCCCTCATCAGACTTAGTGGTGCTGCTGCCCTGATCACAGACCTCTAATCTTTGGAGCCATGTAAATTAATTTTTTTGTTGTCTATAAGCCACCATGTCTGGGTATTTTATTGTGGCAGCCTGAGCTAAGGCAGTATTTGATTTTGAACAGTGACTTTATGGACAACGAATGGAGTACTCATGGCTACTTAGTTTATTTACTTTTTTAGTTAACACAGAGTAACGTTGACTCTTTTTTTGTATATGTGCTGTTTTATGACGTTCTGACCCACGTAGATTCTGTAGTGTGGGTACAGAATACACATATCACCTCATAAAACTCCCTCCTACTGTCCCTTTCACACTCCTCTCCCCAGTTTCCAGTGCCTGGTGACCATTAACATCTCCATTTTGTGGAACATCATATACATGGAATAAAACTGTATGTAAGTTTTTGAGAGTGACTTTTTTACTCAAGGAAACTGATGCTGAGATCAGGTTGCTGTATGTATCAATAGTTCACTCTGTTTTATTGCTGAGTTTGGATTAACTAGAGGTTGTTCATCTATTTGCTCAATGAATGACATTTGGGCTGTTTCTCCTCTGTGGAGATTATGAATAAAGTCATTACAAATCCTTTCATATGAAGTTTTTGGTAAACACTTGCTTTCACATCTCTTGGGTTAATACTTAGGAGTGGGTAAGCAATGTTTAACTCTATAAGAAACCGCCAAACTGTTTTTCAAAGATACCATATCATTTTGCATCCCCTAAAACAACATATAAACGTTCCAGTCATTCCACATCACTACCAGCACTTGGTACCACCAGTGTGATTTAAGTTATTTTTTCAGTCAGTTTAAATGGTGCATCACAGAAACCAAGTCCTGGTTGTTTCTGGATTTTGGAATGCAAATAGCTAAATTTTGAGAATGAGAGACTCACCAAAAATTTTACTCGAATTTATCTGCTTATTTGTTTGGATAATAAGAGCTACATACTTCCACAAGAAAATGATGAAGACAAACAATGATCTAATTATCATAAACAGGTAGTATAACGGGAAGGGAATTCACTTTGCTGGTACATTAAGGGACTCTTAAGATATTGATGTAGGGGCTGGAGAGATGGCTCAGTGGTTAAGATCACTGACTGCTCTTGCAGAGGACCAGAGTTTGGTTCCCAGCACCCACATGGTGGCTAATAACCATCTGTAACTCCAGTTCCAGGGGATCCAATACCCTCTTCTGGCATCCATAGGCACTACACTACATACATATAAGCAAACCACTCATACACATAAAAAATTAATAAAAGTTTTTAAAAAGATATTGATGCAAGTTATAAGGCAAAGTGGTGGGTCCATACAACATGCTATGAGGTTATGATTATTCTTGAAATTATACCCATGTTGAATGTATTTCACAGTCAAAAATTTTAAAATAAATATGTTTGAGTATATCAACCCCATAAAAATAGAACAGTGTTTGGTGTCAGCATACCCAAGACCCATGCAAACTTATACAGACAAAAACCCAGCATAGAACTGTGGAAATGAACAGCAGGTTCCAATCTTAGTGGATTCTTAAGATTAGTGGATTCTTAAGATTCTTAGTGGATTCTTAAAGATTCTTCTTAAATCTTAAAGAATCTTCTTAAAGAAGATTAGCTCTTCTTCACCTGGCAGTAATCAGCTGCCAATAATTCTTCTACTAAGATTGGAAACTGCTGGTCATTTCCACAGTTCTATGCTGGGTTTTTGTCTGCATAAGTTTGCATGGGTCTTGGGTATGCTGACACCATTGCTGTAGATTTGTATAAGAAGGATCCCAGGTACTTAGAGGATGATTTCTGTATGGTCCTGTACCTCCTTTCTGGCCCTAACAATCTTGATGCCCCCTCTTCCCCAATGGTCCCTGAGCTCTGAGTAGGTGGATTTTAATATGAGTCCTTTCCAAAGACTCAAACTCTGAAGACTCTTATCCTCGGCTTTTTGGCCATTTGTGACCTTTTGTGTATCTGGTCCTCTGTTGCATGAGGGAGCATCACTGATTGTAGGAAATCAGGCGTGCTCTAGGGTGAGATGAGTCTAAAACTTTTAAGTCTAGGCTTCATTCTCTCCTAACAGGAGGGGTGCTGAAAACAATAGCTCTGATAATCCTCTTGCAGAACACTGTGAGGCTAGCAGGAGAAAGTGGACAGGTCAAAAGTGCAGGCTCCTTGCTCTGTGGAAAGTGTCCTGGTCAACAGCTCATCTCCATGTCCTGAACAAATAACTCAGCTGTCATTAGCTAAGAGATTAGGCCAGGTTAATCGTTTCCTCCTGAGCTAAAAAGTAAAAGTTTACCATGCCTTTAGCCCTAAGAAAGAAAATATTTTGGCCAATAAATTACCAGACAGTCATTGGTAACTTTGAGTAAAAGTTTAACCATCCTTCTGGTGCCAAAAAACAGGCAATATGTCCTGTTTCTTTGTACCCTAAATCTTTGTATGTGACTGCCAAATGCCACGTGACTTCCAGTTCCTTGTAATATATAAAAACTATCTGGATTTTGTAATAAACAGCTTGTTGTAAAGACAAAAACAACAACAACAACAACAACAAAAAAACCCTACTCTTTTTAGGTGTTTAAGTACAGTGAGTTAAAAACTTAATAAAAACATTCTGTAGAATTTGAGCATAGGAATATCTTAAAACATGAAACATTCCTTAAAACCTGCTTAAACTGAGCCAGGCATAGTATTATATAACTGTAATCTTAGCTTGGGAGACTGAGCAGGAAGATGACAAGTTGAAAAACAGCCTGGGCTATATGGTGCGATTATAGTTCAAAACAAACAACCAACCCCAAAGCCAAAACAAAATGAAAAGCTGTTCAATTTCTTTACTATTTCCACACCTGTTTATATCCATAGGCCAAATTGCCAATGTGTCAGTTCATTACTCCCAGATGTCAGAACCGACACACACTTGAAGAATTCATCTAGTAAAGCCAATCTTAACGACTGGCAAAGAGAAGCTTTTTGTTAGAAACAAAGACTAGAATGGACCTTGAGTCAAGAAACACATGAAAGTCTTCATGTTTGCCATTGGGATCCCTACATACCCTTATATTACCATCTAGACACACAGCTCTTTAGTGGTTGGTCTGCTTGTCTCTGATATTGCATGAGGAGCATGTTACCTGTGACGACACTGGGGATTTTGGAGAGAAAGCTCTTAACTGTTCTGATGGGTACACCTCCTGTCTTGTCATCCTGCATCTTTGTAATGATGTCCTCGATCTGGAAGAGGTTGAGGAAAAGAAGTGTTAATTTTTTCTCACACAGTAATACTAAATACAAGCCTTTATTATTTATTTATTTATTTATTTATTTTATTTATATATGTTTTGGTCTTTTTTGAGACAGGGTCTCCCTGTAGCCCCAGCTGGCCTGGAACTTACTATGTAGACCAGGCTAGTCTTGAACTCACAGAGATCCACCTGTCTCTGCCTCCTGAGTGCTGGGATCAAAGGCGTACGTACGTCACCACTCCCGGCTTATAAATATAAGCCTTTATAAGACAGTCCCAGTGTGTATTAAATGAATGCTAACAACAGAGATCAGGGAAAACCTTCATCTAGTCAGTCAGGAAACATATGTTGAGTGTGGGGAGGTCAGAGGTGATATGAAAGAACATAGGACAAGTTCTACAGGAGCAGCCCCTTCCCCACCAGGGCACCAAGGGAGGGAGGGAGAAGTACATGGGAATTCTTGATTGGATTCAACATGAACTTCAATATGTATATGATGAAATGTCTCCTCTTATTTAAATTAAGTTTATATGTAGCTTGTATCATGGGACATCACCATATTTAACTCTTCTTAAATGGCAATTTCCCAAGATTCACCCTAAAGTGTTAACATAAACTAATCATTAGGAAGTTTAGGCAGGGATGCTTTGGGGACCAGAAGAAGACAGTGGGAGGAAGAAGACGACTGTGGGAGGCTGGAAGGCAGGCCTCCGTGATTCTGAATGGGGGTATGAGGATGGCCACTCTGAGGCAAGGCCGAGGAGCCTAAGGGCAGAATACTCTAGTTTTTGGAAGAGGACAGCCACACTATCATGAGAAAGACCGCAGGGGGCTGGGCTAAACAAGGTCTTACTAGTGAAAACAGAGCAGCGAATGGGGCTGAACCAAGGGTACACATTTGTAGCTAAGACGTCACAAGCCAGTTGTAATTTCTTAGGCAGAAATGTTCAGGGTAGGAGACATAAACGTCTATAACAAGGATGTGGCCCCTTCTGGGGGGAGGTGGAGTAACTGGAGAAGTAGATAACATTTGGTATCACATATTTTGTTCCCCTAATCAATAGTAATATCTTTGAAATACCAGGATGCATTCTCTGAGTAAGTCTTTAATGGAGTCACATTAATTAATTAAAGACAGAAATTTAAGCTATAACTTAATTTCCTCTAGCTTAACACACCAGCATTACATTTCAAGGGTAACTGATTTTTTAAAAAACATGTGTCTAATAATTATGCTGGTAGCTACAGATATTCATTAGATACCAACTTAGGTCATGGTATAAGATCGTCACCATCATTACCACCAGTAAGATAAATTTAGAAATTCTAGGTGCTAGTCTAGGTATTTTATATACTTTGCCTTGCTTAATATTCATAATTATGTTATAAAATGATTCCACGCTTCTCTCTCTCTTTTTTTTTTTTTTTTAGGTAAAGAGACTAAGCTTTAGCAAGGCATATCAATCAGGGTAAAACAAGTTAAGTTGGGGAAGCAAATAACTCCTCAAATGTCAGTGGCTTAACATAGTCAAATTTATGTCTCAGGTCTGCTACATGTCTGTCACACATCAACATGGGGACACTACTCATTTTTGTCACTTGAGGGGGCAGCCGTCTTCTTGAATGTGACCAGTCACTATGCTAGAGTGACAAGAGAAAGTTCTGGAGAGGTGCTACCAGGCATTCGGTGTATAATACATTCAACATAGGCATAACATACTTGCTTACAAATTCTTTTCTCAGAGCTTGTCACTATCTAAGCACTGAGGAACCAGGGCACCGAGTCCTCTGGTTGCCTGAAGAGAGGAAAAGAGCCTCTGTAATCAACCCCAATGGCTACTACAGGGCTAAGTAATGTTAACAACCTTCACAAGGTCCCACAGCTACCCAGTGGTAAAGTCAAGTTTGAATGTCGTTGCAGACTCTAGGATTCAGGTCTCTAAACCTGAGATGTTTTGCTTTATAATAGGATTCTCAGAAAACCAGTCAAGTGTGGAAACCATCTTCCCATGGAGATTTCTGGGTTTCCCTTAAAAAGTACTGGGAAAGAGGGATTGAAGACGTAATTCAGCAACAGAATGTTTGTCTAGAATGTGCTATGTTCTATCCATAGCACTAACTAAGCAAATAAATATACAGGAGATGGAGAAGTCATCCGAGGGGCCCAGTCACTTAGATGATAGTGGGTTTCTCATAGGTAGAAGAGTCATTCCCTGAGGCCTGAAGATCTGTGTTCTGTTAAATTACATTCTAAGAAGGAATTTAATCCATATTCCCATTGTCCACCTCATTCACTACTTGGCTCTCTGTTAACTCAGCCCAACAATTTACAGTATTCTCAATATTACTTCTCAATGATCAAGGGCAGCTCTTAGGGTAAAATGGTCACGTTTTCAAATGTAATCTATGCCTTTGACCTAGTGTGTTATCTGAAACCAGAAGTGCTGGTTACATTGATAGTTGCTGTGAGATAGCCAGAAAATCTTTGGGAACTGGAGGGAAGTCAATATGTCAATTCAGTTAGACTTCTGAGTGGGCATTAGATGGTAATAATTTTCAGTCTCTGCTAATATGGGATGGATGTAGAGACCTGGCTACACAGAGGAATTGGGGAAATGGAAAAGGATTTATATTTTCTTGACTATTAAATTGTATCTAACTTCTGACACCCTTTGCTCCTAAGGAAGAACAAACTCAATTCTTCCACATCCATTAATATGAAGATCTGCATCATGGAATGTGTTTGGACCTAGCTGCCACAGTGTCAATCAATGAACAGGTGGTCTCTATCAGACAGCCAGGTGAAATAGAGAAATGGCTTGGCCTGGCCAGCTTGGATGGTTCTGCCTGGATGATCCCCAACAATCAGGGCATTCTTCTCCAAGGAGCTCAGTGCTCAGCACAGATAAACTGGTACAAAGCCTTTCCAAATACTAGGGGCAAGGCACAGATAAACTGGTACAAAGCTTTTCCAAACACCAGGGGCACGGCAGCCATTATAACAACCCAAAGCCAAGTTTGAATGTAGTTGCAGACGCCAGGGCTCAGGTCTTTAAACCTGAGCTCTCTAAAGCTTTCTTTGAAATGAGAGGCAGACACAGTTTACTGAAATAGGCCTGGGTAGGAAGGCAGGAGGGAGGGGTGAGGAAGAGCAATCTTCTCTTTAGAAATGGAAGTCACAGTGGAACAGCAGGACCAGACTGAGGTCTGGAAAAGCCTGTGGTCCTCACTGAAGTGCTGTTTCTTGGGCATCACTCTTCTTGTATCTATGGTAATGGGTATGTTTGCCAAGTGCAGAACTGTGGTCTGCAGATATGAGAGGCTTCTCTGATGTAACCAATGCAAAACTGTCTAAGGAGTTACATGGTACAGGCTGAGGAAGGGGGTGGGTAGCACCGAGAGTCGGGGGCAGGAGGGTAAAGTTTTACAGATTATGTATGTGGGGCAGATGAATCCTGAAGAGGCCCTAGCACTGCTCCTTCATGGCCAGCCCAGGCCTGCCTGCTTATCTCTACCTTTCTGGATGACACACCCGAGAGAAATGACAAAGGCCCATATCAGTATTTGTTGTGTGAATTAATGATCCAATGAGCTAATTTATTTAGCTCATGCAATGTTTCCTCAGTGGGAGATTAAAAAATGTCAGATATAAAAAATTATGGTGCAATTACTGAAAAGAAAAGTCCGTAGCACGTCAGGGAAGGAGGCCTCAGGCAGGAAGGACTTTTCATCCGAGTGTTTCACCTTGACTTTGCAATCAGTTGCTTAGTTCTACTTCAGCTCCTGCATTTCATTACAGACCCCGTCTGTCCTGGTGTCTCTGAATGAGTGAAAATGATTTTGTGGACACCCTCTTGTCAGCCCAGAGGCAGGAATCAAAGCTGGCCAGTGATAATCACGTTTCCCAGTGAAAAATGAGTATGCTTCGCTGAGCATGGTCTGTTCCATATGTCTCCCAGGAGATCAGGCCATTTCTCTTTTTAAAAACATAACACAACTTCTATTTCAAACTTTTAAATGTATTCAAGTTCACTTACTACTTTTAGTCCCAGGCTCTGTGTCAGTTTTTATAGTTAAAAGGCAGGGAGGGAGTGGCCTAGGGAGATGGCTCAGTGGGTAAAGTATGAGCACGTATGAGTACCTGAATTTGAACCTCCCAGAACCCACATAAAAACTGACTGGAGAGGTTGCTCAGTGGTTAAGAGTACTGGCTGCTCTTGCAGAAGTCCTAGGTTCAATTCCCAGAACCCACATGGCAGCTAACAGCCATCCTTAACTCCAGTTCCAGGGTAATCCGATGCTCTCTTCTGATCTCTGCGGGCATTGCATGACGGGCTCACTTACACAGATGCAGGCAATATACTCATACACAAAAAATAATAAAATATTTTTTTAAAAAAATCTGGGCATAGTAGTATGCATCTGTGATCCTAGTGTTCCAACAGCAAAATGGGAGGCAGAGACAGGAGAATCTCCAGGAGCTCATGGGCCAGCTACAGTGGCATATACTATGGTGGTGACTAATTATTGAGACCCTTTCTCAAACAAGATAGAAGGTGAGGACTAATGTCCAAGGTTGTCCTCTAACTGCCACATATATGCCATGGCATGCATGTGCCTGTAGTCATACGCATGAATACATGTGCACACACATGCACACATCACACACATGCACGTCACATACATACACACACACACACACACACACAATAATAGGCAGAAGAATCCCTTAATCCCTTATTTTCATAGAGGAATATGAAATCACTAACACACTGTTTAGTGATTCAGGGATTTAGACTCATCATTAGGATGTGTTGGGGACTTCTGGGCCAAATGTTGTCTCCAAAGACACTGGAAGTGAAACATTAAATGTCCATATCAGAGGCCCTTAGAACGGGTTCCATCAGGAACCCTGCCCTTTTTACCATCTCAGTTCAAGGGCTGAAGGGAATCTTGGGATTCCATATTCTAGCTATCAAAATGCTTGCTA